AGGGTTCAGGGTTTAGGGTTAGCACAGTGCCAGGTTTTGGGTTGAGGTATCTTTGGGGGGTTGGAAGACTGTGTTGGGGGTTGGGTTGAGGACATGAGGTGCTCCTCTGTCGCTGAACCCTAAACCCTAGTTGTCAGATTGGGGGTTGGGCTTTTGAATTGTCCTCTGAGGTGCATCAGCATAACATGATTTGGAGGATGCTCACGGTCTCCTGGCCACGCTTGTGAATAATTATATTTCAGGAAGACTCCTAGATAGCTGCTAGAAGGCTCCAATCATTGGATTACATGATCCCATGCCCCTCCCCGTATGGTTTAGGGTTTGGGGGGTTATATTGGGGTTTCATTAGGGTTCTGTTGAGGTAATTTTGTGGTTATATTGCATCCTTACTTTTACCAAGGCCTCTCCATAAAAAAAAACTTGTGAAACCCATTCTCCTTCCACTCCTGGACCCAAGGCCAAAAGTCTGAACCATAGAACCATATCTATAGAGACATAGAGGGTTTAGGGTTTAGGGGTTCAGGGCTAAGGTTTAGGGTTTAGGGTATATGCACCTGACGCGCCGAAAGACCTAGGTCTCTACACGCAGCGCGCCTGCTGCAATCTGTGCGTCCTGACGCTGGTGGCTGATCTTTTCCTGACAGCATCTCGGCTGCATGGCGATAACAAACAATAGTAATTTCAGGAACAGTAATACTGACAGCATCTGGGATGCAGGTGTGGCGGTGGTTGTGGCGGCAGCAATTGTGATCTTGACAACAGTACCCATCATGATAGCTGTCATCTGTCTAAACTCCTAGTATCCCCCTTACTAACCCCTATAGTAGTCCCTATATAATCCCTTATATAACCCACTTTTAAGGAGTTAATAGTTACCAATATTATATAGGGGTTATATAGGGTCATATAGGGACAATGGAAGAGAAAATGGAAACTACTAGATGATGATAGGGTTTAAGGCCCCCATATTAGGCAACATTCATGAGTCTTATTCGAGCGGTGCGTGATGTTTTGAAAATGCGGATCGGGGAAGGTAACGTCATCACACCACGCTTATGCAGTTTTGAGGCATTTGATCGGGCACTAGGGCATCAAACTCGCCAAACATCCCAAGCCAGAACACTAAACCCTGAGAACCCTAAACCCCCAAAACCGTCTTAAAAACCCTAAAACCCTACACCCTAAAAACACAACCCTGAGAACTACAAGCCTTAAGCCAGAAAGCCTGAACATTTGCGTCTCGTAGGCCGAACTTGGTCCATTTGAGTAGTGTTTTTTGTGGGGGGGGATACTATGGTACTCAATATAGAGTAAGATTACATCCTCTTTTTTGGGGTATAGCACTTTCTATAAGGAATGTACTCTTACTAGGTTCAACCACCAAAAAGATGCTATTCGTTTGAGCAGCATGTACAACCTACAACCATCAGATGAGCTACTGTCACTATTAGCCTTATTACGAATACGCATAGGGGTAAGGGAAAATGGAAGCAACAATAGTGGAGATTCAAACGGACAAGAGAATGGAACATGAAGTGGACAATTTGGAGCATGTAGGGGTTTATAGTGATATGAGCTACTGTCCATGTTAGGCGTATCAAGGGGCCCTTAACAGTTGATATGTCCTCATATAATCCCTCATAAGGAACCCATGTGCATTAATTCTTTGGGTTTTAATTCACTGTAGCTCAGATGTGGACCCTTATAGGGCCCTAGAGACTTAAAGGTATATTTTGACACTGTAAGGGGGGTTATGAAGGTCACTGCTGGGGAGACATGTTGGGCCCATCGCAGCTAAGGAGTGTTTGAAAGGGATTCAGATTGATCCGTGTCCAGTAAAAACTTGTAGTCTGAGATTGGCCCTAAGAGAAGGACATGCTACGCTTCAGTCATCTGCCCCACAGAGGCTTCGCATCTAAGTAACATCGAACTCACACCTTTTCCTGGCATTAAATGCTCGGACACTTCTTACGTAGGGGGCAGGTATACGGCTCATGCAAAATTTAGGCGGAGCTGTTGCTGCACATCTGGCGCCAGGGATGCAGTCTCCCGGAACCATAAGTCTAAATCCATACTAACCCTGCTTTCCCTTCCGTATTCCATTCTCTTTTCATTTGATTCCCCGTTTTAGTGAGGATTCCTTGTACATATGTTGTAATCCCCTACAAACGGATGTAACCCCTGTAGAACCCTCCCCCTTAAGTAGATAGAACATGGGGTATATGGGGATCTTATTATGATGTACCCAAAGCCATATTCTATCTACCTAAACGGGGACTATAGCCCTATACCTGAAATACCCTGCTTCGAAACTGGAAAGATGCACCCCTGTAAGATCCCTCCATATAACCCTGAAACATAACAAGCTCCTGAGCCTTCACCCTGAGGCACGGCCATTGGAGCAGCATGGCGCCTGCCCTCGTTTTACACCGCTTTTGGAGAGTTCCGAATCGCCCTCCGTTGGGAGCGTAATATCAAGCATGGGCTTGAAGCGCAAAAAGGGTGGTGATGGGTGGTGTGCTTTATATACGGGCCTAGATATCTACCAGTATTATGGTTCCATATCCCTTGTATAATTATAGTATAGGGTACCTCAAATGGACCTCAAAAGGAAGTTGGTAATTATTTAGGCCCCTACATTAGGGTTCATTGAGGGTCTTTTGAGGTGGAGGTTTAGACGTTGATTTTGGGCTCTCAGGGCATTGGTTTGAGAAGGTCAAGGACTCGCGGCCTTAGCCCACTGTGTGTTGACGTCTGATCCAGTTTAGCAAAGCGGTTTCGGGTTTAGGGTTCCAGAGGCGACAAGACACTCGGTATGTCGTAAGGCTTGAGTTCCATGTGCCGGCTCATGCTTGCTCCGTTGCATTCAGTGTTAAGTAAGAGTGCCTATGTGTCTAGTCGAGACATGCAAGGACCATTGCAAGAAAGCGATGAATTCACAAAGCGCTTTTTGACATGTGAACTATAGTCTACACTCCTCACAGGGGGTTATTTGGGGAGTATCCTGAGGTTTATTAAGATACTAGGAGTTGAAACTATAGCCCATGTTACGGCTGCGATTTCTGTTGGCCCAAGAGGTCTCTCTCAGACCCGCTAACAGTGTTTTTGTGGGCCGCCGGCCTTCGCTTACTAGTACATAGCTTTTTCCAGAAATGTCACGGGCGTTGTGCCTGGCCCTGATCGTGGTGGCTGCTGGGGCGGAGCCCTTGGTTCAGGACGACGAGTGCGCAGGCGAGGAGCAGTGCGCTCTGAACGCACTCCAGCGCCGTGGACAGGCCGTGTCTGCGTCGCTGGAAGGCTCGGCTGAGAATGCCCCCAAGTGCCAGAGCTTGAGCCACCCATCAAACAAAATCTGCCGCTCAACGGTGGAGTGGGCGCACCGCGGCGGCAAGTACGATCGCCACGCCCCTCAGTGGTTCGTCGACATGGAGTCGATCTCGGGCGTTGACTACTACAAAGCCAGCTTGGGCGATTGGCAGAAGCTATACTTCTGCGCCCCTCCGGGAGGCAAGCAGTGTGGGGCGCCACCATGCAGTTGCTCAAAACCTCCATGCGACGTTTGCTTCCAGAGCGAGGCAAAGTCAACTTGCAGCGACCCCGACAGCATCGCATGCAAGCCACCGAAAACGGCCCTGGAGTACAACGGTATGGCCTGGGAAGACATGAACATCTCAGGGAAAGGTCCTTTCCATGTCTTCGCCATTGGTAGCATGTCTGCTCTAGACCCCCAGTAGCTGCACCCTTTCTTCACATAATGCTTAAGAAACGCGCTGGTGTTAGTTTGGAACCCCGGTAGCTCGGGGCTCCCATGCTAAGGTGACTGGGGCGGCCTGGACGGCACGCTGCACCCCATTGAAGGCCGGCCCAACCTCATCGCATATCCTGCCGGGACCAAGGCGGGGCCCAGCGTTTTCCCCAGGACAAGGTTCAACAAGCCACACACAAAGCTGCTCTGCAACCACAAACAGCTCCTGGATCAATGTTAGGGATCCTTTATACTTCTTGGGGTATGGGATTCCTTATATTTAGGTAAAAAGGATCCTCTTTTCTTCCTAGGGTAATGCGGGTCAAGGTTCGTTGAGTGCTACAAGACTATGGGACGCGTGTGCGACCCGGGCTGTGGCTTTGTCAAGGGCCTCGACGACCAGCCCCAACAGCTGGTGGCAAGCTCTTTCAAGCAACGAGCTGCAAAAGCTAATCCAGAGTTCATTTTGAATGTGGGTGACAACTTCTATTGGGGTGGCATTGAGAAGACCTGCGGCACACCCATGAATGAGATCTCTTACGTGACCCACCACCAGTTCGACCAAGTCTTTGAGGGCGTCTACAATGGACCCGGCCTGGATGGCAAGCCCTGGCTGAGTGTTTTGGGCAACCATGACTGGGGCGGCCGCGTCTTCAACAACGGCTGGGACCAGCAGATTGCCTACACCTGGCACAGCAACAGATGGAGAATGCCAGCGGCCTACTGGAGCCAGCATGTTAACTTCGTGGATGCAGGCTTCTCCATGGACATCTACATGGTGGACTCCAACGCCCAAGATGCTGAGGACCCAGAGTTGGATCCCGAGCACAACATCTGCGGCTCGGCCCACAATCCAGCGGGTGCCAACTGCGCGTCGCAAGGCTCGGCACTGCCTTTTCGCTCTTTCATGTATGGGCACTGATAGTAGTTCTTGGGCTGCAGGTGGACCGACCTCTGTCCCGACATGCAAGGCATGGTTTTGGGACCTGTGGCGCAAGAACCAGGCGCAAGCGTGCAATTGCATCGGAGTCTTGACTTTAAGCCCATGACATGCTGGCGCGCAGGAGTGGCTGACTGAACAGCTGCGCAACTCCACCGCCGACTGGCAGCTGGCGGTCACTCACTTCCCATGCGGCTTCGAGAAGAACTTCTGGGCTGCTTGGCTGCATCGTCTCAAGGCTGTCGCATGCTGTCACGTAGAAGGGCCCCCCGGTCTACCAAATCACATGCTCACCTGTACACTGATGCCCTTTGCTGGAGCTCGCTTCAAAAACCTTGAAAGGCTGGCCTCCACCAGCAGCACCTCGGCTGAAGTGCCGAGCAGGGCGCATGAGGGCAGTTGCGTGTGCGATGTTCTTGGCTTTTATGGTGCAGGCATGGGCTGGACCTGCTAGTGACCGGCCACCGCCACGACCAAGAGCTTTGGTCGCCAAACAGGCCGGCTTCAATTGCGATGTCTCTGAAGCAAGCAGCAAGAACCCAAAGGGTCCATGTTGCTATATAGAATATACTTAGGGCCCGAAGGGGTTCCCATAGAACCACTTTAGGGCACAAGTATATCCTTTATAGCCTAGCTATATGGACCCTTTTGGGTAAGGGGCCTTGCAACATTTCTGCCTGCATGTAGGTTGGGAGGGCTCACCTGCTTCGTGACCGGCGGTGGCGGAGGCATCTCGTCTGAGGCCACACCGAATATCCACAACAAGAGGGCTCCCTGGCAGCACTTTAGGGTTTTGGGGTTTAGGGTGCCCCAAACCCTATATAGTAGTTTCCATATTTTCCACTATCCTTATACAAACCCTGAAGGGTATCCTGAGAATGTCTGAAGACATTCCTCCAAATCGTGCAGGACTGGTACGGAGAGGCCCAGTATGGCTTCTATGACCTCCTGATCTCCAAGTACAAGATTATGATCACATCCATCAACTGGATCCTTGGCTTTAATAGGGTTTAGGGTTTAGGAGCCTTGGCTGATGTTTTGGGATCCTTCTGTCAATGCTAAAAGATGTGCTATGGGGGGCCCATGTTTTGTGCATGAATAATTCTCGGTTGGCGCATGGGGTCAAGTCTAGACGCTTACCAGCCAAGGGCTATACAGGATCATATAGTGAGCAGTTTCCCAAAATTAGGGGACCCCAATATAGACCCCAATATACTATAGTCCTTATTATGGGGAGCCCCAAAAAGTACTCCTAATTTTGGTAAACTACCATGTGGGTGATGTAAGGACATTATCCAAGTAATGGACAAGCAGACTCTTGCTTTCTCTGAGTGGTGCCTTGACTCTGCCAAGGAACGGCTACGAGATCATGACCCGCACCGTCTATCCGAAGAAGTAGTCATTTGTAGGAAGCCCAATGATACACCTAAGTTTAGGGTTCAGGGTTCAAGGTCTACCTCTTTTGGGGGTTTTGGGTTCCTTTATATACTAATTAACCTAGATTAGCAGCAATCCTTGTTGCAATCTTGTTGCTGGGCTACCAAGTTTTGCACCGGGTGTCTGTCATGTCCTGTGCAATGCCATAGGTCTGTCAGCCCCTTCGAGGCGCTAGAGTTCCGAAGCTTTGCTTGGGTCCCTAACCCTTAACCCTTAACCCTTAACCCTAAACCCTGGGCACCCACACCCAACCCGCTGATCCTACCAAGCCTAAACCTTCAACTCCTAAAGCTTTGAAACGCACCAAGGGTACAAGCTCCGGAGAACGATTTCAAAGGAGCCCCCCCCAGTTTCTACAACTTTTGCAAACGTGGACATGGACCCTTGGTTGCGGCCCCGTTTCAACGGATCATTTTGTCTCTGGAGCTTCCGCGCCGCCACGTGTGAGCTCCAGGAATAGTAAAAAAGCAGGTTTTTAAGAGCAGCTGTTATCATTGCTTCTCATTACTACTGTTTGGGTTACATCATTATTAAAAGCCAATTTGTGCGTGGGGATCTTGGAGTTGAGGTTAGGCAGTGCTTCTCGTATGGGATCACTCTAGCAGAAATGGAGGCGTTGCTGCAGCCTTAACACTCATCCAACCGAATTGTATAGGAACAGCAGATTATTACTAGCACTCTTCCGGATATTACGAAAATTTCTCTTATTGCTATTATTTCGATCGTGGCATACCAAAGGTAGTTGTGGAAGCAAAATGTGCCTTCTTGTGCTGAAGATTTCCTGGCTGCTTCAGATTGACTCGCCTGTGCTCTTATAGCCTGTTGACTAAACAGTTGGATTTTGGCACCAGACACTTGTAACTTCAGGCCTTCTTCCATCTGCATGAAGGCAAAGGCCAAATCCTTCCGCAGGCAGAACTTGCAATTGACTGCTGAGAGATTCTTCGAGCCTTAGGCTTAGCAAGCACTACAACTTCCTGGCACTCTGATCCTGTAAAGCCAAGGGTTTAGATGTTCCACCAATAGGGAGACCCCTAATATGGACTCCAATATACTATAAACCCTACTATAGGGACCCTCGCAACAGGAACCCGCAATTCCGGAAAGTCCCAGCAGATAGGACTCCCCGAAGATTTTGACCCTAAACCCTTCCAGTTGAAGTTGCAGAGAAGGATCCGACCTGATTTTTTAAACCTCTCCCTAAGGGTCCAAGAACTCAAATAATGTAAAAATACTATGATATGAATGGTGCTTGGGCCCTAAAACCCTATTGTTTGGGTCCTTGGACCCTTAGGGTTGATAGGGTTTAGGGTTTAAGCTAGTCTTTATTTTGATCGTCGCCAATTTGCGAGAAGCAAAGGGAAACGAACATGAAATGAAAGCCTCTTTGACCGGATTATTCGGGTGACAAGTACTTGAGGATACTAGAGTCCCCCCAATATAGAGCAGGATTACACCCTCTTTGCGGCTAGAGTACTTTATGAGAAGAATAGAATGTCGTCTGGGGCAACCTCCCGAAACACTACTCTGCTGGTCGCTGCTTGCCGGCTTTTGGGCACTAGCTACTAGGTAGCCCTGCCCTGTGCCTTTGTACCGCTCCGCCCCCAGACGAATGGCTGTTTGTACATAAACCCTAAACCCACTTAGACCAAGGTCTCTGGGATGTTCAGTGATCATATGGAAAAGATCCAGACATTATCCATCCACAAGTCTTACAGACGTTGCATGCTACCTAGATAATCTCCACATACCTCATTCTTCATGACTTTGGTTTTTTAGCTGTTGTTGGGGTATCTTCCTGCCGCCTCTTGGCCCACTTGAGCCATGGCGGCTGTAGCGGGCACCAACGTGGGACCGGGGCTCAGCTCACAAGTCGGGCTACTGTCATCATTGAAGTTAGGGTTCAGGCCATTGCCCCCTGCAGTAACAGTAACTCCTTAAGGGTCCTTAAGAAGGGGAGCTAAGTATAAATCCCAGGAGTGACCCTAATCATTACTGTCATCCTAGTTACTATTCTATGTAATTGCTACCTTGACCCTAGAAGTTGGTAAAACAAGATCCCCAACAAAAGCACTAAAAAAAGCGAGTGCTTTACATACTTTGGGTGTCCAGTCCAGGAAATTACAGCTGAGTCAGGGCTAGAGGGTTGGTGTTTGGGTCTGCGCAACAAGGAAAGGGGCTTGGGGTTTAGAATAAAGTGCTCCCTTAGCAACTGGAGATTCAATGTATGTGGTGAAAGCCTGAGAATTGGAAACCCGATGATACGTTCATACCCAACAACTTCAGTCTGAAAGCTGTCGCTTTACTTTTGGTTCTGGTGACTTTAACACATATGTGTGCCTCTCAGGAGACCTGATACGAAGCACATGGGCCGGGTAGGGTTATCCGCTTAGGGCGTATGCGGCGTACAGCAATTCTACAGCTGCAGGCAATAATTCTTTCAGGCAGAGGATCAAACTTTCGCATTTGGGCTTTTGAACCCCGCCCCTTTTTTGGTAGACAGTAGCTTGGTTTAGGACGGTTTAGGGTTCGGGGGTTAGATTTTACTACCTGGGTCCAAGTTTCTTGATGCATACTTTAGACTCTGCACAAAGAGAGTCAAAGAAAATGGCTTGACCTGCAACAGGGCTCTGACAACGATGCTGCGTATGTGGTTTATACCTTAAACCCTAAGCCCCTAACCCTATACCCTGAACCCTAGCATACATAGTTCCTCACGCACGCGCCTGCAGGTATCTATGCCCAGCGGCCCTGGCCCCTGTTGGATTCAAGGTTGAATGAAATCATTGTGGTTCTGGGAATACGGTTTTGGGTTGAAGGTTTAAGGCTTAGGATTTAGGGTTCAGGGTTTTGGGTTCAGGGTTTAGGGTGGACCTCAAAATAGATCAGAACCCTCATGGATTATGGAGACTGCCACAACACGACCCCTAATTGAAATGCTCAGGGTTACTTTTCCTATTGTTGTCACAGGGGAAACCTGTTCATGAACAATTTAGGGTGTTTGAAGTACCACCCAGTCTAGGATCAGGTCTTGGAGGCAGGGTCTTCAGTGATTTTAGGGGGAGGTTGCCGCTGGATGTTTGTCCTGAAAGACCTCCATCTTTCTGATTTGACCGCGGTATGCTGGCTGCCCTACCTTTTTGCCGGCTGCAGAACGCTAATTCCCAAGCCCTAGAAACAAGGTCCCTGATCCAGAGACTCCTGCTATGTAGCTCTGGACTGATGACAGGCGTCCTTGCCTGAGCAACCCCTCCTGGCTACATGACCCCACGCAGTTTACGGACCCTGTTGGGTTCCATGTTAGTTGTCAGGCAACGCATGTTTCAAAAACGGGTTCACGTTTTTTGGGATGCCTGTCATGCCATTGAAATGACAACCGGCCCATTCTCATTGTGTGGGTCCTTGTTCTTCCAGTTCTCGTGGTCTCTTTGGGATATATACCCGAATATGCCCAAAGTCCAGAATCTAGCTTTTTTTTTTGGTGGCATATACGTGGACCCTCCAATTAGTAAAAAGCAAATGGTGATGATATGTAGGGTCCGTTTAAAATTATATTCCTTTTATACCACTCTTTAAGGGGGGGGGGTCCACTTAATGTATAGTATAACCCCTACAACACAAGGCGATACATGATAGATGGAGATAAGCATACTGACAAAGGTAAACTAACACCCTAAACCCTAAAACTCAACCCTACTACCTTCAACGCTTTGAGAAGCTTTCATGTGGTCAGCCACAGGGACGGCCAAGGAGGTTCTCGCTGTAGCATGCTGTTGAATTGTATTTCCGAAAAAGGTTCTCAAACCAGATACCGAGAGTCTAAAGAACTTAAAATTTGCCTTGGTGCTGTACAAGGGAACGTATTCATAACTCTTCTAGGCGACTTTAACACACCACCCAGCAAGTTCTTTTCTCACTCATCTCTTCTGGTTTAACCTGTGCCCCATAATTAGACCCCATGAAGCCGTGTTAGAGATCTCTACTTATTGGGTATGGAGGAATGGATCCCACGGTAGCCCGTAAATAGTCTCTCATAATAGAGTAGTTTCCACTGTCTTTTCCACTCACGCATTGCCCAGTCACAGCCAGCCGATATGAAGGTCGTAATGGACCCTAAAACAGCCCTCACCGATCGTTGTCTGAGCTATTGTCAGTTTTAAGCTTACTAAGGGATCAGTAAGGGTGGACATAGAGGTTCTCTTGGCAGTCTAGTATAGTCACCAAGATATTCCTCGGTGAGGACCCATGCCCATTAGTTATGTGTACTATAGTCTACACTCCTCAAAGGGGGTTATATAGGGAATCATATAGGGGACTACTATAGGGCTTATGAAGGAGGATTAGACTATGGCTCATATGGGAACTGTTGACTAAACTCTGAAGCCTGAACCCTGAACAAGTCTCTCTTTGGAGGAGGATTTAGACTACCCTAAGGGTCCAAGTACTTAATAATCATATACTTACCCAAAACCTGTACTACAACTACTATTACCCAAAACCCAGGTACTTAATTATTGGGTACATGGACCCTCTGGGCTATAGCTCTTATGAGGCTTCAGCAGCCGGGGCCATCTCAGCATACTGCGCTGCACTCAGCCGAAGTATGGGTTGGGGGGTTATAAGGTTTCGGGTTCAGGGTTTGGGGTTTAGGGAGAAGGTTTAGGGTTCAGGGTTTAGGGTTTGGGGTTTTGCTTTGGCGGTTTGGGGTCTCGGTTTGCAGGTTTTTTGGTTTTGGCTCCAAGGTTTTAGGCATATATAAATATGGGGACCCAACATAGACAGACCCCAAAATATTGTAGTTAGCGCCTTGAAAAAGTGCCCGTGACCCCCCCCAGTTGAGTTCCTAAGGTAAGCCCACGACATCGTTGCTAAGCCTTGTTCGGCCATGGATAGGCAGAAGGGCCCTCAGCGAGGTCATGATAGCGTGACAGCCGTGCTTCAGGTAGAGATCTTCTAGGTTTG